CCTGAGGCCTGGCTGCATAGCTATCCTGGGCCCTGCCTTTAATTTGGGCAAATACCTTGAGTATTAGTTGGCATATTCTTCTTCCTAGCTAGCAGCACCTCTGTCTTCTTAAGTTTTTTGGAGAGCTTTTTAAATGCTGGGGTCATTTTGATCCCTTTGTTTCTCCACTTACACTCAACTTATTCATTATTCTATAAATATTTAATGGGATCCCACTATGTGCCTGTGGGTCGTGCAGTAAACAAGATAACATCTGTGTTTGAATGCCATCCTGGTGACAGCCAAGCATTCCTCTACAGTGCCTCATAGATGACTCCCTTCTTCCCCACAACCAGCCCGACAACCTCCATCCCAGACACCAACAGGAGCCTCCCCTCGGAGCTCCCTTCTCCAGGGGTCTTTCCTCTCCGCCCAGTACCCTGAGAACGGCCAGGAAAGTCTTCCTTAATCCCAGCTGCAGCATAAGACCTCTTCTTGCAAAACCTGACATGCCTCCTGGCGACCGGGGGTACCAAAATCAAGGGTCCCCGCTCAAAGGCCCAGCATTCCATCTGCATCACTTCCACTGACACCTCAAACTACGCTCTCTAAAGCGATGATGTATCAGAGTTCGGTGCCCTTGAACTTGCCCTTGGTTCTCTCTTACTTTACCCACAGAAGGTAGGGAGGGCAGGAATCAACCCCATTTTAAAGATGAGGAAACTGAGGCTCAGAGAAGTGAACCAATTTGCTTCCAAATTCTTTTCCTGCAGGAAGAACATGACATTGTGGCATGAGAAGATGCAGCTCTGAAGGGGACCACATCTCTTCACTGTCCTTCTGTCCTCAGTGTCTCCGCCTACAGTGTCTCCCATTCACTGGTACTGTTTTGAAAGTTTTCTCTGTGACCCTCTGTGCTTCTCCTCTGCGACTGTAGAAATTGCAGCAAACCCGGTGTTAAGAACACAGACATTTGTGTCCCAGCGTTCCACCTGGTGTATTCTGAAGCATATCAGCCTCAGTTTCTACACCTGGAGAATGGAGCTAATAAATAGTATCTACCTAACTGAAATACACGGATAAAATGCGCAGCCTCAGGCCTGGAATGTGGTACAGGGTCCGCCACGAGAACTATCAGTATTTTATTCAGATGTGTGTATGTCTCTTTTCCTCACCCTACCGTAAGCTCCATGAACTAGGGATGACTATTTCTTGACCACTGTCTTCCAGCTTCGTGGAAGCTTCCAGAAGCAGGGGCTGAGCACTCCATGGCATGACCTAGGGGATGCCCAGGTTGGAGGCAGCTGCT